GGTGAAGGTAACAGATGTTTCAGCAAGTGCACTGACAGTGCAAATTCATGCTTGTAGCAGTTACCATAATGACAGGTGTAAGACTAAAGTTACTCCTAAAAAGAACAAAGGCATGGTGGCAGTTATTTCAGGTTTTTTGTTTAACTTTAGAAACATCATCAGGAGCAGGCAAAGGCGACAAAGAAACAACAGCTAATAAATACTCAATGCATCAGCTTATTACTCAGGCGCATCAGTTAGGCTGATGATATCTAAATAGCATACAGTATATGGAAGAGTCAACAACAGCACAAATTCACAAACAAAGTTCAGAACATTATTCAGACAGAGTCAGTTCTTTGGGGGCGTTTAAATCACTGTTCAGATAAGGTTTATAACAGCTCATAGCAAAAGCTTTTTTAATGGTCATTTGTCCCATTTGTTTACTTTAGTCAATTATCCATTCATTATATATGTACCACTTATTTTCTAGATGGTTGTTGAGGAGCTGGAGCCAGGCAGGTTACACCCTGGACAGGTCACCAGTCTATCACACACACTCCTAGGGGCAATTTAGAGTTGCCAGTCAGCCTAAGCTGTGGGAGGAACACTGGCAGGGCAAACTCTGCACAGAAAGGCCCTGGGTTGGCCCGGGCTTGAACCCAGAACTTTTTTGCTGTGAAGCGACAGCACTAACCGCCGTGTGCCGCCCCTAATAATAATATTCATTTAAAAAATTGCCTATCTTGAGTTATCTCATAATAGAGAGAAGAAAACAATACTGCCATCCCATGGTTGTCAAGAGGAAACTGTCCCCTACATATTGCACTTAAATATAGTAAAATATACCAAAATTCTTCTGCTAATGTATAGAGTGCATTTTAAATAGATATTAGCATGGCACATGCATTGTGTAATTCCCACAGTTATATACAGGTATGATGCCCATTCTAAATATACTTTAGATCATTAAATGATTTGTGGGAAATGGCTGAAACAACATGGGCAAACATGAACTGTCACAAACTAAGCATCTATTGTATATTCAGGGACTGTTAAAGGCCATATTGTTGTCTCAGGGATTGTTGTGAGATAACATGCATTTATTGTAAAGAGGTTTAAGGATTGGGTGAGAGTCTTCAGCTCCAGCAGCTTTTCAGGAGAAGATTAGGGCTGATTTTTGGATGTTATGACAACAAAACTGATTAACAGTGACATTAGTGTATATTACTATCTGTTGTATATTTTGTTTGTACACAGCTTTCATCTTTTTTTTTGTTTGTCTGTTAAACCAAACTTTCACCCACTGTCTTGGGGAAGACCTAGCATCTGTGTACCTCATCATTTATTTAGGAAAATTAGGCATTACTGATGTATAAATACAGAATTAGTTTACTTATTCTGATTGAATTAATCTTAGGCTCCCATTTTTACACTATTTGGATTTTATGCTGTCATACGTCTCATTTGTGCCCTACATGTTTTCTGGTATTCGCCTCATTTCAACAATAGTAAACAGCAGTCTTCTGCATAGCAGAAAAAGATGTTGATTCAGCAAACCCACTAGTTATTGACCACTCATAAGCAAAAATAACCACATAACTGTTTTTCTTGTGTAAAATACTGCAACAGAAAAATCCCATATGATTCTGATACACCTTGTGCAACTCGGGAATGCTTCCTTATATCTATGACACGGCTTAAAGACGTCAATGGGTGGGGAACTTTTTGTTTGAATTAAGTTTCAGTCTTTTGCCAAATACCACCACTAACAATGCCAGAGAAGACCACCTATAAGTGCTGCAGATGATCCTGTTCATGCAGCAGTTACATTATCACAAAAGAATATCTATGCATCTGTGCACCTTTAAATTTCCAGGTGGCCAGTTGGTATACATAAGCTTTATCTTTCTAATAATTTCCATGCAGTAGTGAAAACACAACAAAAAGTTCCTTTCTGGGAACAGAAGATGTAGAAGCAGCTAAGGCTTCACTTCCTTTTTCGTTGTTGCATTATAAAATGACTTATTTTCTTTGGGACACAACAGACTGTGATTCACTGTCAATGACGACATTAATCCCTAATATATTTTGCATTTATGAACAGTGACAGAACAGCACAAACTTGCATTTCATATTTTTTTTCCATGTCCATGGAGTAAGAAAAATCCATGAATATGCACAGCTGATGCTCTTACAGTGCTGTGAAAAACAATACAAAATTTGCATCTATACAAAAATATAGATGCAGACAGATGGTTAAATGGGCTGGCTCATAAAAAAGAAACAAATTTGAATTGCTCAGTTTAAATCTAAAATCCGCTTACCTCAATCGCATTTTGATTTTGTTGCTCTTTGTTGCCTGTAATGAGCTGTTGCTATTGCAGCTTCTACATAAGATTTAAACTATATAGAGCTTGAAGATAAAGACAAATCACAAGTAAATCTACAGCAAGAGAAACCAAGGGAATTTTTTAAGGAAAAAAAAAAAAAAACCCAACATAATTTAGATGTATAAAGTAGATGCCTCTTAGAAGTTATTATTCTCATTGTACAAATGGCATTTCATCAAAATAAGTGGTTTCAAGAGCAATAATACTATATCAGCCAAAAACAAGTACAGTACAAACATGCTCTGATGATTAGTGGCTTATAATTTGTGCCAGAGACACATTTTCTTATTATGGTTAATGTTTTATCTATCTATAAATGGATGGATGGGTTAATGTTTTAGATCAGGAGTTCTGAAAAAGTCACATAACATTACATTGATATTATTTCAGTCATATATCAATGTATATACATACAGTATACACAGATAGATAGATAGATAGATAGATAGATAGATAGATAGATACTGTAAATAGTACAACAATCTCTAAATGTAATAACAGAAATAGCTTGTGTCAATGAAAATATGAATAGGAAGAAAATAAACAGATAATAGATAATAAAGCAAGTGAGTTTTGGCTTCCAATTTATAAAATTCACAAAAGACCCATCAAAATTAAGACTAAGATTATCAGACTTTTTGTTCTGTATTCTTTTCTGTTTATTGAGAAACACTTGATTTCCTGTTATGGTGAATGAAGGTACAGTATATACATACTGTATATGAATCACATTATAGACTGTCATGTTGCTATTTGCATGTTGTTGTGATAGAAGAGGAGTGTTCAGGAGTACTGAAAAGCCACAAAACCTGATACACAGCAACCAAAACAACAGGATTGTCAACATCACAGCCCAGCAGCTTAATGTCTAACCACAGGGCTATGTACAATATATACGTCACTGTGACAGAATCCCTTGATAAAAATAAAAAGTCTAAAAAAGAGTGATTTAATTTTAAACACGTCTGCTGTGGACTTCGTTACGGACTTCATTAGTTGATTACAAAAAATGATATTTTTCTACTTTTGTATCTTATTAAAAGGCATTTTGAGAAGTCAAAAACTGAGCTTCAACAACAATACAACTTTTTTATTTTATTTTTATTTATTGTATTTTTGTTATGTTACTGTGTTTACCCCCTGTGGTTTCGTTCATGTCAGTCTGTGAAGCTGAGATGCTCCGGTTAAGGGAGACAGTTTTTGCTTCTTGAGCTTTGTCATTCACTAATACAATACAATGGTGTCCTCTTATGGTCAACCATAGGTACTGCAGAGAACAGGTAACAAACATACCGTATGTCCATGCAGATTCTCAATCATCCAGGTCATAGTAAGCTGAAAAAACGTAGAAAAAAAGAATCAGCTGGACTTTTAGGTTGAAGATGTTTCACCTCTCATCCAAAAGGCTTCACCAGTTCTGCCCGACTGGCATTGAGCCGGAGATATTTATCCCCATTCACCACCATTATCACCCATTGGTGGTGATAATGGTGGTGAATGGTCTGATTCCAGTATTTTTCTGACTCAGTATTTAAGAGTCAGTATTTCCTACTGATGTACTGGCAGCATGGATGAGGCTTTAAAACACAATCTGGATCTGCACTCCAGCAATATGTATAGGCAGCATAGTTTACAGTTACAGTTAGTAAAACATACCATGGAAAATCCTGATCATTTTGTATTATGAGAGAATTGTTGCATTTCAAGTCATCCTGGATATGCCCCTAACCACAAAGAATTTCTCTTGTCACCATAAATAGACAAACCAAACTGATTCTCTGTGACGATTGTACCATATTATGATGTTATATTATGTGTAATGTTCAACTGAACACATTAAGTAAATTGCCTGAACAGGGACTTCTTCAACTTCTATTAGCCAAATACAAAAGTCAACAAATTCCTTTCAAAGTATTTTAATAATTTAAAGGTATTTGAAGCATTGCATTGCTTGCTGTAAATAAATAAAGTCCCTTAAACAGCAATTAACGTTCCCTGAAAATCTTGCTTTTGCCAGCCTCCAGTGGTTTAACTTCTCACCATGCAGCAACTATGCACAGGTATACTCCAAGGCTCTGTGACGTCACGGTGGGGTGTGGTTACAGGTGAGTCAGAGCGCAAAACAGGCTCGAAACGTTTGACCAGGAGAGAAAGTGAAACACAGCTTTTTAATAGATACTCTTTAAAGAGACAAAAAAAACCTTAAGACATTTTTTGAGAAGAGACAGAGAGTAAACAAAACCCAATTTTTGATTATGTTTGTGGGTTAAATGTTGTGTTAACTGTGAAAGACAGCCGGTCTTTCCTCACCAGCAGCACATTCAGCGCTCTCAAGCGACTCCCCAGGCCGTGACGCGTTCAGGGGGAGGGGCTATGCGTTTTTATAGTTAATTTGCACAGTACTTCAGTTCCTCAACAGCTGCCATTGTTGTGGGGAATGAGGAGAAGGGAGAGGGGGCCAGTGGTGAGTAACGAGGGAGTAAGAAGGAGGGAGTGAGGGGCAGATAAGCGGAACGACTCAAGAAGGCAGAAAGGGGTAGCTGCTGCCTTTGGAGGAGATTATTGTGAAGGGGCCTCATAGCGGGAGGTAGCAAGCTAGGAGGAGCCGGGCAGATTAGCGGCGGCTCTATGGCTCAGTCGGCTGCTAACGGTGTGGACCAGGACCTGGCCAGCAAGAGGCTGCACTCCAGGTAGGAACCCTAGGGGGTACACGACGAGTGGGACAAACTCACGTTATGTTGGTTCGGGAAAAGGGAGCGGCTGATGGAGCAGAAAGCAGTAAGAATAACAGAGGCTGTCACTTCAGGGCTCTGCTTACTAAGGAGGAGCTAGGCAGGGCGAGCTGGACCAGCCAGCTTTCACTGATTTCAAGTCCAAGAACCAGCCACAGATGCAGGCAGAGCCCGGTTCCAAGTCTCATTCCTGGCTCAGGTCACTGAGTTGTTGCGACTGGAAGGTACAGACTGAAAGGAGCCTCAAAAGACGTGGACGTGTAGAAGGAATATAGCGAGGAGGTTTTACAGCTCGGACAGACTGACAGTGCACATAGCTGTGGTTTCAACGTGCCATGTGGGTGCACAATCACACCATATGTACACGGTGCAGTAGGGAGAACACAGATGCAAACACTCTCTGGGTGAAAAAGTCAACTTTTATTTGCATGCTGTATTTGCACGTGTATTAACCATGTTACCACTCATTTGCATGTCTTTTTTGCCTCATTACTGTCTCCATTGTTGCACTATTTGCCTGTCATAAAATAGTTGTAACGGTCTTTAAAGCCAGTCCTAATACAGTCTCTCAGTGTGGTTACATTGACAAGTAAGGGGCATATAAGTTTTATTTGTGTAATATACTTTGAGCAAACACATTTGTATTGTTAAATAATTTGTTTTTTAGTTTTATTAAGCCATATTATGACATCCCTCCTCTTCTATTTGAAGCCCAGTGCTTGTGACAGAATGGACTGCAGGGAATGTTAATAACTGTTGAGTTGTTAAGTGACATTCATAAGCCCTGCAAGGTTGTCATGTCCCTGACACACCACAGACAAACACACACGCTCAAAGATAAATGCACAGAGCGAGACACGGTGCTGCTTATAATCATATGGCCAGGTCTCCTTTCTGTGATAGCATTTAGAGGGATTATCTGTGGTGTCTTTGTCAGTAAACACTTGGTGTAAAATGCTTTTGTTTTTTATGCCCTTGGTTCCATCAATCAGCTCAGATGTAGGACACTGCAAATATGCCATTCGATATCATGGATCTTCACTGAGACTGTATTACCAATCTTAGAAATGTATACTTATAAAAGAAACATGGAAACTCCTACTCAGGACTGAAATGTTTTTAAGCCAAACTTTTACATGAATTGATGTGTTTTCAAGGAATATTTGCAATCAGGCCTCTTTAAACCTCACAGTCAATATTATAATTACAAAACCCTAACATTAGCTATTTGTCTTATTTTATCTCAATATTTTTTGGAGCCGTATTAGATGATGCTGCCCTGTGAGCATTGGTACGGGGAAATCTGGCTTTTTTTTATTCACTGAGAATAAAAAAGCAGTTGAATTGGGCAAAAGAAGAAATAAGGAGACAACTCTGCTCTGACTGAAAGCGACATGCACTGAAAGAGAAAAAAAGAAACCATTCCTAGGTAGTTTCTCTTTGGTTTCCCAGACAACAAGCCATGGCACTCTTTAATTATGACTGGGTTACTACTCTGAGCACCAAGTTTCTGTACTCAGCCAAGAATCACAGGGACAACAGTGAAGAACCCAGAATATGGAGTAAGGATCGATGAATAAGAAGGAAAAAAAGTTACAATAAATGAAAACAAAAATGCCAAATAATGTGCGCCTTTTGTATCATGGGATTTAATTTAGTTACTGAGATTCACAGTTGTTACAGAAACCGGTGTATCACATACAGGTTGTGGTTAACCTGATTATTTATTATATTCAAATCAGTAGCGCTGTTTCTATCCAGCAACATTGACAGTAATATTACAGAGTGTTGTGGTTTGTACTTCACAATGATTACAAGAACAGATTGTTTGACCTTGTTACATAGGGGTGAAGGTGCATCGAAATGGTGCACAGTTACAGTGCAACTGGAAAAACAAGCCAGAGACTACATTTGATTTGAGGTTATGCAGTTCACGGGTGTGTTGTCCTTGAAACATAGTTTTGAACACAATGTTTTTTTTCCAAAGGACACTGTTGTTGGCTCAGCATTTTTGAATATTAGTCCAGGCTATTAAACAGTCATGGTGCGTGCTGAGTTGACTTCTAACTATGGACTGGCACTGGATATTAAGTCATAAAAATATACAGTACTGGAAGAGGTGGTATACAGGACTGTATTACCCCAAGTCTTGTTTTACAAGAACATAATCTACAATTTATAGTATGTGAAAACAGTGCAGTACAATTTATGGACAGAGTCGTGAGTAAAATGTTTTTCGTTGTTGTCAAGCCCGAGTCACTGTTGATTTAACCTCGGTACCGTGCTGCATTTGGCTGAGCACCTCGTGTCTCATCACAGTAATCTTCTACATCTGAGCTAGGTCGTATTTCAGCAGCCTTCATTTAACATTGTGTGTTTTTAACAAAAGCTTTTATTCACTATTCATTCTGTAAAGCTGGATGTGATACTTCTGTTTTCAGTTTATCTTTTATTAAATGCTATCATATTATTCCCTAAAATGATCTGCTATGTTTGTCACCGTCAGTTTATTGTTATCTTTTGGAGTATACCTTTGCATGGCAGAGGAACAGGATCTTCACAAATGAATCATGGTTCTCTGTAGACCTCACTTTGACCTTTCTAAGTTACTCCCTGAAACTTGTGTAATATGTTACACATAATCTGTGCTGCCTTGGTAACAGCACTGGGTGACTGTGTCTCTTAGACCACAGGCAGGCTATTATGGCATGAGTGTCTCCCAAACAGGGCAATTTGAGTTGTAATCAGAGGAGAGAATGGTAGACTGTACCGCACAGATCCATTCTTCCTCCAGCCACAACGATGGCAAAAATGAAAGTCGCCTTGTGAAAATCCTCTTATGGAGATAATCCCTTTTTTTGTCCTTGTTTTGCATCTATTTGCTTTTGTTAATGTCCATAAATGTCTTTTCTTTTCACTCTTGGACCCCCAAGATGAGTGATGCTATATCGGCCTCTAACTTTACAACTGTGCAACCAGGCATTCCTTAGGCTACACCCTATTTCCATGTTTTACAGTTCAGTGGTGATTTGCAGAGACCCCATCACCATCTGCAGCTGGACTCAGTATTCTTATGTCTTTCTCTTCATCTTCTGTCCATCCTCTTTTAAGAGCACCTCTGTATCGTTATCATGCATCTGTAAGGAAACTGCATGTCTTTGCAAAACCTCAGCATCCACATTTGATTGGATACATGCCATGCTTCTAGTCTAAATCCTTCAGCGTGTTTGTCAGGTCTAAATATTTAATCTTCTGCTTATAAAAAGGTCTGATTTTAGTGAAAATAATTGAAAATATACGTGCCTATACAGTCTATACAGCCATTTATAGGTTCCTTACATCCTCTTTATGTCTCATTTGTCCTGGCCGGTGACCTAATAATGTTTTTGCAGGCTTCAGCAAATAGTTGGATTAGTCTGGGCCACTCACTGCACTTTGTGGTCTCAAGCAAGGAGGTGCAGGGCAACGAATTAGGGATTCTCTCTCTCTATGTCTCTCTGTCTCGCTCTCTTCCTTCCTTTCTTGCTTTGTCATCATTGACTGTCCCCCGGTTCTCACCCGGAATGTTGCCAACATTATACCCCCCTTCTTTTAAATGGTGGCTTATAATGGCAAGGCACAACAATGGGTCTCGTTGTCTCAGATGAGGACAGGTTGAAGAGGATCAAGACAGAGAACACGTTTCTGCTGGGGATATTGAGACCTGAATAACGGTCATGGACAACTCAAATTCATGATTAAATCCATTTGGCTTAGTGAATCATGCCCTCCATAGACTTAAATCAACACATTTTTGCTAAGAAATACATTTGTAACTGGAACTGCTGTTTAGTGGAATTTTCTACAGTTCCCTCCTGACTGTCTCAGTTGTGGGAGCACAGAGTTCACCCCCCAGTTTTTGGAATATTCTTGAGGACTTGAAAAGAAAATGCGATTCTTGGCTGGCCTGGGTCTGTGTGTAGATCCTTCATTTGGAATGTGTTTTGGTTTGCAGCAATGTTGCTGACATTCTGGATTCTTTTATAGTTATTTAATGGACAGTATGGACTTCATATACTTTGGGAACCATAAAAACTGAACACAATCCTGAGACACTGGTTGCTGGAAATTTCATCAACAAGTAATTTCAGTTGATATAACCAAAGTTTTAGCATTGTGTTATCAGTGATGTGTACTTCTTGAATGAACTGCAGTCTTTACGTAAAGAGCTGATCATTTTAGCCCCGATGGCATCGGAACCTTGCCCTCTGACTGGAGCAGAGAGAGCGATGTGTAGACTGGTCCACTGTGGACCTCGACCTCAGGCTATGCTAAAGCCTTTACACTTGGAGCTGCAGCTGTTTGTGGACAAAACACGAATCAAGCGAAAACACAGGTACTGCTAGAACCAGCTGTGGACCAGCTGTGCAAACTAAATGACCATAGTGAGACACAGTGGCCCTAAATTAGCACAAGTTAAGGAATTTTGACCAGAAAATTACTCTTACAGTAAATTAACAGGTAAAATAAATCTGTTTGGCCCTGACAAATGCCTAACATTGTAATTACAATCAAGTTTTTGGCAGTGAAGATTGAGACACATTTGCATATAGGCTACATTTTCAACTTTATGGTGCAGATTTCTTTATTTCTTTCAAATTGTGCCTTTTGTAAAACATTAGTTTCAAGATGATACTTTCTTAAATCTAAATTCCAGTGATTTATCTGGAATTTAGAGCTGCAATAAAAATGGCTGGATTTTAGTCTGTCCTAGATTAGACAGTGAATCTGGGGTGTATACTTTCTGAATGCAACTCACTGATAATGCCTTGCTGTGGTTGTTGTGCCTGCACTGAATGTGTGCAAAATTAATTTTAAAGGACCTAAATGGTGGTCAAATAAATTTCACATCACACATTTCCTATTTCCGTACACACAGTTTTGAAATAAGGCACCGATATTTCTTTTTTCATCGTGTCTGGCTTCTGATTTATGTTTGAACAAATATGCCCAAAATGAATATCTCTTCTGTACTCGCCATCATAAGAAGCATTATTCTTGAATTATTAGAATACATTAAATCAAATACCAAAGAGCCTATTTAGACATAAAGTTAAGCTCTCTTTTACATTCCCAGAGTCAGCGCCATCGATCCAGCAGTTGCCATGGTAGCCAAGGCATTGTAGAAGTGGTGGGAAGACTCCTCTTGACTTAGCTTTTAATAGATATTTCTGGAACATGTGGCTTCTGTTGTATCAACTTAGCAATGTAGGTGAGCAGAGACACACTTAGATCAAGTGTTGTCACAGGACTGACCAACAACATGGATTCCCAGTTTTTTCCCACATAGACAATGAATAATATTAACTAATGTCATAGACCTACTGTAATATTTATTTGCATAGAAAACTTTTATATATATATAAAATGTGAGGTTGCTTTTAATCTCTTATACTGTACAAATGTAGCTTTATCAGCTTGATATAGTCAAATGATAATGCAGGAGAACTGCATGTCTTTATGATTCCAACTGTAAAAACACCTGGTTAAGGTGCACATCTTAAAGCTTAGACTCAGTTGCTAGGGCAACGGTCTGCAGATAAGGCTAAAAGACCTTGTTGTCATGGCAATACTGCCAATTTGTTCCTCACCATGCGCAGATGTTGCTGTACCACTGTACTAAGTCTCCATATGACTATACATTGCTCCCTGTCTGATAGTGCTCATGTGTAAACACTAAGCCTC